GAGCTGGCTGCCGAATGCAAGTCAAAAGATTGATTAAAATATCAGTGGGTATAAGGAATGTGTACAGCATATTTACACCAGAAAAAATGAACCTTTGAGCATGTGGGACACTTCAGACCATTGCGCAGACGTCGATTAAGTATAGCATCAGCTGATGGCGAAGGTGCATGTAGGTGGCTGGAAGAACGAGGCGGCGATGGTTGGTGTTGACTTGATAATTGATCCGATGGACTGAAAATACCCGCTGAGAAAGAGTCCTCGTCAGATCTTGAATTCATCTGCGTGGTCGATGCAATAGATTCCTGGATGCCACTAACTCCGACAGCACCGCTGTGTGCTACAGAGCTGGAAGTTGTAGTGGTCATTTAGAAGCAAAGACTATGGTCTCTTGCCATTATCAATCCCACAATCTAAAGTATATAAGATTATGTTAGTGCCACAAAAATGCAACATCAGAGTTGAAGAGAACTTACGAGATATCTCAACAAGAATAGAAAAAATGATTTAGCGTCTTGTAGGTAAGGGGACTAAATTCAGTGGCACAACAATTTCCTTTGTGAACATGGGATTGCTTTAATTACAAAAAAATATATTTCGGTGCTTGTATTTTCTCGAGCCTTTTATCTAAATGATAAGAACTCGTAAGTTATGAAGGGTGGCAGACTAATAATGAATAGCCGCCTTTCCTAATAAACAAGCATTATCTACATTCGGACCACAGAGGACAAATATAACAAAAACCAGTACGACATTGTACCTTCCTTGTACACTTATGAGTAATTTACAACAAATGTATAAAATAATTTCCCCGCAAAAGAAACAAACAAACCTGGCAAGACAACTCGCATACGATTGACCTAGAAGTAGAATGTGCATTGCACGACTCGCTGTGTGCTTACCAATCAAGTATCAACAGTTTCATTCTGCTGATTAAAGTCTATCCTTCTGATTATACCTGTTTTTAAGTATCAGCAAACTCTAACGGACCTAGGTTAGGTGCACGAATCGTCGACACAACATCATAACTTAAAATGGAAAACCTCAGTTTAGGTAATGTCTTTAAATGATTTTAGAAAGGTTTCACCGAAGATGGGCATGATGTCTTCATGAATGACATCGCGGAATACATAACTAAGGGTAATTTAGCAGACTAGAGGCGTGTGTACCTGAAATGTAAATGAATACGTGACAGAGATGATCAAATTTCAGCGATTTGTAAATGATCAAATAATGACACCCTTTTGCCTTATTTGCAAGGAACCACAAGTGTGTGGCAACTCTATATCAATAAGACCCGGAACAACATTTAATTGAGACACATGAGTTAACACAACTCGACAAAGGAGAGAGAAATATGTGTTGTAGGATCGCGGTAAAAATGCAGGCAAAAATGAAAGCAAAATTTTACTGACAACAAGTCAGTAACCGAAGATAAAGGGTTATTAATTAAGTATCAGGAACAAGATTCTTCTCGTGACCAGCGGGCGATGTCAAAACATCGTAACCGATCAGTGTTAATTAATACATTAATTCACAAAAATATATGAATTCTAGTGAATCTGCGGTTCTTCCAAGATAGCAAGTAAGTTAAAAATTGGATGTGTTTAATGCGTAAAATAGTGCATTTTGAAATATGACTGACTCTTTATTGTCAAACATGTTATTTTTTGCAAATGCACAAGGCAGTCACTAGTTACCAGTTTTAGCGTAGGCTGTTCGGGCACTCATTTCTGGGCAAAGACTGAGTGGAAATTGTTTTTTATTCTACATTGACTCAGAGGACGATATTTAACTGAGCACAAGCAAATGTATTTATGATTCAAAACTTACGCATTTAATGTTGATAACAAATCAATGGCGTTTAAAATTGTAAATCGTACTTTAAACGGCATTAGCTGTCTGTAACATGCGAAAAGAAAAAAATTAGTTAATTAGGGACAAATGCAATCTACTTTGTAGCAGAAATTTAAGCTAATTTCAAAAGTCATGCGTAGAAATGAAAAATGCTTTCTATTCATTAATGTCTCCTGCCGTCAACAGATATTCCTCAAAGAATTTCAAGCACACAGAAACATGGCATTGGCTGAGCTTATCGTGATCAATTATGTCTACGTTCGATTGCAGCACTACTGGTGAAGAATACCAAAGCATTAGTATGAAGTAGACTGATAAAACAGAACGGGCTTTATTGACCAATCACAAGTCAGAACCACAAGTCCGAGTCCACAACGCTGGCCACGCCGCTAATTATATCCATCACCTCCGTTGTGTCATTTTTTGGTTGGCTGCTTATCTCCCTCGCATACCATTGGAACGCAGAGCGACACAGGATTGGCTGAGGCCAGCGTGGTCCAATATGTCTGCACCCTGATCCGTCGTCACACTGCCCCCCCCTCAGGAGTGAAGCTGTCTTCAGCTTCTGGCTTGGTTCTTCGCACTGGTCATGATTGTTAAAATATCCAATTCGACATTACACTGGATGATACCCAGGCCTTAGTATGAAAAACACAGCTACAACAGCGCGGGGTTTATTGACCAATCACAAGCCAATGCCGTGAGCCATTCGCCTTCCATCTACGTCCACTGTGCTGGCTGAGCCGCCCGTTATATGCTGCTTATCATCCGTCCTTGTCTCTGGTTAGCTGCAGATCATTCACACAGGCCATTCAAACAGAAAGACAGAGGATTGACTGCGCTTGACATGATACAATATGTTTGGACCGTTTTATGGCACCACAGCCTTCCCGCTAATAGTGCAATGAAAATTTAAACAACTAATGCAGTCCTTCCCAAAATTTGTAATGAAGAGACTAAATTAAGCTATGACCTCTTAGCACCGACAACCATCACCGAACGCAACAAAGCGACGACGATACAATTCCCTGGGTGATGGAGAGTGGTTGGCTTTGCACATCTCTTTCTAAAAGGCAGATCATTTACGTGATCTCCCTAGCTGCAAACATATCGTTGGTACAAATTAATAATAATCGAGAGGACTGAATGTTATAAATCCTCCTAAAAAAGGTAACCAAATATATTACTTTGAGGGCGAGGCGAAAGCTTCTGTCGCCTCCGAAATAGCATCAACCCATATCGATTTACGATAAGATGTTCATAGAAAGCGCACCACCAATAGTTGAACGGGGTAATAATTTCAATTCTGTCATTTAAGAAAATAATTATTAGCAATTTATTCCAGAGAAAAAACTGGGACATCACCAGCCATCCCAATTACAAATCAAGGACATGCAAGGTTCACCAACGGAAGATAGGGGCGATCGTTAATTGTTTTTTTTAAGGTAAACTTACTTTGCCGACGGGGGTCAATCCATACGCCAATTTTGATACCTAACAATCAGGACAACAGTCACAAATACGTGAAAGTTCAAAGTACAGAAATTTATCATCTCCTTGTCCAGCAACTTCGAAAACAGAGTACCCGTTGCAGTTCCTCCCCTCGAGACTACGGCAGTACGAAGAAATTGAAGCAGATAAGAATTGGAGCGGAGAGAGACCACCTTATTATCGATAGAACTGGTCCCTTCGTCCAAAAGCTGGCAAAAAGTTCTTCGGAACTGTTTACCTCCTCCATAAGATCGATCATCATTACGGCAAAGGATCTCCCATTCCGACACATTGATTAGTTCTTACTCTTACCATGTAAACGAATTGCACATGTTTAATACAATCCACCTATCCCAACGCATGGATTAGTACGCCTTTGTGTAACGTCCTTTGTTGCTCTAACATGCGTCTTAATGGTAGGCCTCCATGACTTTATGCCATTGAAAACATTGGTTATCCACCCGTTAGTTGAAATGGACACATCCGAAGAGGCAGGCAGCTTACGTTAGCTTTACGGTAATTTCATCTATGTACTGAATTGCCCTCATGTAGACCAAAATGATTAATTTGGTTTCCATGTCGTCGCATTCCGTGCTATTCTGATCTCATTTTCACACCGGTCTCATCGAGCATGCGATACCGTCTGTTCATACACACCCACACTGCCCGTTTAACTCATCCCGCCACCTAGCCATTTGTACATTTTCAAGCTCACCCAGACTGTATTGGTCAATAACTCCTATTATACAGACTCAATTTTTAGCAGCAGCGCGACAGTCTCGACTTGCTTGAGACATCGAATTAGCGGTTAAGTACCTCTCTCCTTTCCCCTCATTGGTTATTTCGAGTTGTATCATGCCGCAACAGACTGCATCGGCCCCATGGTTACCCAGGCCAGTGCTTTCGTATGGTTGGATTTTCCAGAACTGGCTGTCCACGGCCTGACCCACTTGTTTGCTGATAAAAAGCATGTGGAAACTAGACACAGATATCAGGTTTTCGATGGATGTTTTGCAAGCCGTTTTGTCTTACCTAAAAGTCGCTTACTAGGAATTTGAACCTTCTGAGGGGGTCTCCGTTGCTTTCGCATCGCGGCAGCTTACAGGTTTCATGAAAGCCTGCCGTACTCACACAGAACTTTTCTAAAACACGATACCATGTGCTTACCCAATTTTCCAAAGAATTCATGACATGTGCCAGCGTTGAAAGCGTTGTAAATAAAGATGCGATAGGTTTCCGTTAGTAATGCCCTCGTGGAATTGTGCTGTTCTGTTAAGACTTTTCTGCCACTAACCAGTTTTTTTATTTTCTAATAATCTTGAAGTCGAATCTTCGTCCGATTCGGTCATGCAGGGAAAGCCCTAAATTATGAGGCTGCTATTTCGCGCAAAATGATTTTTGCCCGTTGCAAAGGGCTGAAGCTTGATGTCTCCTGTGAACTCTACTTCACGTTCTTAGCCTCCTCATAAAATGAGGATTTAAACGAGATGAGATTCGGTCCAAAGCCCACACGATTTCGTGGCACAGCCCCTAATAAAATTTGCATACGATGAAACCTGCTAAAATCATACGAATCGATAAATGTGAAATTCAGCTAAAAAATACTACATATCAAGAAACGATAGGCAGATCACAAATTAGATTTTTTAGCGCACCTATTGAGTCAACTGAGGTTTCGGTAGACGAAGGCCGAGTGAAACCAGCTTGAAGTCGAGGGTAAGTGGTATTTTCTTTTTGGGGTTTCCCAGCGAGCGGCGAGGCAACGTTCGAACATCTGACTCGGCACTGCAAGGAATGTCAACGGACCTTGTGGCGAAGGCTTCACGAATGCCAGCATCTGGCTGCAACATCGGACGCGTCCACATTAATAGACCCTGTGCGAGCTAAACGCCTTCAGGCAGCGCAGTGCTGTAAGGGTTGTTTTACAAAGGCTTAATAACTTGGCCTTTTTTCTAGGCTTGATTGTATGCTCAGATGTTTTTCAATATTTTTGATTTACTAGTTAAGTGTGAATTTCTGGTTCATGCTACGGTTTGTGAATCAAAATATTGTTTAAGTTGAGGTGTCTTAGGGTGGGGTTTGGTTCACTGCTCCATCAGATTAACAGCAATCTTGCATACCTACAAATAATTTTGAAATAGTCGTGCAGCAAAAATTGATTACGTAATCAACGCAGCAAATAAGTAAAAGAAGTCAAAGTTCATCAGTGATTGTCAATTATGATGAAATTGCATAAGATTCTACCCCGGCCATCAACATCAATGTGTCAGATTTAGCACACTGAAGCCACTAAAAATGGTATTTTTAAAAAGGATGCCATGCTAAAGACTCGCTAGTTGGGGTAAATTAGGATTTTTATAACTATGTGTCTACGAGAAGTCTTCACGCAATCTCAGTAACTGAATTTCTTAGCTCATTATATGATTCTTAATGCTAGGATAATTCGTGTGTTTTTTTAAGTCGTGCGTTTGCAGGTAACGTCAATTTTAACATAGTAATTCAACATTTGCAATTTAAGTATCTTTTATAAATATTAGCCATTCAAGAACGTGTGGGTTTTTCCCAGGATACTCGAAAAGTAATTAAGTAGTTACATAGGCATTTTCAAAAGGCACAAATCAACTTCAAAGCTGATATTAAGAAAACAAAGTTTTTCTGGCCATGTGGTGCTCCTGCGTAAGTTGACCTCTCGAAATCCCTGCGCTAGACGTCTGCAGGCGACTTACCAAAACACTAGATTCACATGGCAGTTTTCTGAGATTCCAGAGTTGTGTGTGCACAGCCCATTCAGTGGCTTATACCAGCTGTTAATCAAAAAATTATACCAAAGGTACCACTAAGTACGATTTAGTTTACTTTGGCGATTACGAATTAGACGGAGAAGTTGTTTGCTTGGCAACAGTGTGATGTCATCTAATCAAACATCAAACAAGCATGTTTAACAGTAATGGGTTTTGGAAGCAAATTTACATGACAAAATAAATATTTTAAAACGCACTTTTAAGGAGTCGAATTTTCGTTGACTAAGCGTAATGGACTTTCCAAAGCATTCCTCAAATGTGAAACCGGGGTTTCAATCAAAAGACGACCTCGAGTCCACGTTTATTTTGTTGCTGATGTAATTGAAAACAGCAAAAGGTATTTTTGGATAGCTGCAACCAATAGCACGAGGGAAGCCAATCGAATTCAATACAAAGTGCTTGAGGAACAGAAAAAGAGTGATGCGAGTCTGATAGAGAAACTGACATATTGAGCGAGGTGAATGTGGCAAGACGCATGGAAATTGTGAAAAGCAAAGCTTATGATTTGACTTATTTACTTTGAACAGAATCCACTGATTGCAGTCACGATAATCCAGGCAAACTAAATTTTACCTTGGTCGATTTGAAAGGAAATTTTCATTAATTAAACATTTTATTTTCTTGTATTTTGTTTATTTTTCTTTTTATTAGTTTCAGCTATTAACCCACTTTCAGAGTTATTCCTTACTAGCTTCCATGACACGGCAGACTCTAAAATTCCTCGACCAAACTAGAATGCATAAACTATTTTATAATCTAGGCTTCCACGATTTTTCTATGTAAAATGGGCTCTAACCACTGCTGCTTAAACATTTATATGCTTTCAAGGGCTTTTCACAGCACATAGACACAGAACGCACAATTTTTATCAGGCCATTCGCGTGATGATATCTCAAACCCCTAAGTACAGCCGTTGACGAGTTTAGTCATCTATTTTGAGGTCTAAAGATACGGTTGAGAGTTTTGTCACCCATGGTACCCAACGACACTTTGATTAATAGCAAATTGTATATAAAAGTATTTCTTGGTAAATTTCGGCTGGGCGGATAATAACTTGACGCACCATTTGGATTCACCCAAACCAATTAAACAGTCCCGGTAAATAAAATGATAAAGTCTGTTTTCTGTATGTTCGAAATTTTCAATCTGTCTTACACGTATCACTTACATTGCGTTATCCCCAATTTCATTAAATCAATTGCTTTTCACTCCAATGAACTATGAAGAAATTGGAGGTGTGAGATCAAGCTATCTTAATGAATTAGTCATAACTGAGTAGTTTTAACTTGCGAAAATTATCATTGTAGCTCTAATCGTTACGGGAGTTAACACAGCATTAAAGCCATAACATAGGGACGATTTGGTTTTTGTGGCTAAACCGACATCAAGTCTAGTGATTGTCACAGTTTAATCCAACGTGTCACGTATACTAAGCTCTCCACATCTTCCTTTTTGGGCCTGGAATCACGCGGGTAACCTAAGTAGAAACACACAAAGTCGCCTTTGTTAAATTTCAATTGATTTATTGTGGGTTAATTCACTACGGAATGGAACATGAGAAACAAAGCCCTAAAATTCATCCAGTACGTCGGTAATTTTGCCGAGGTGCACGGAGTTTGGTCAAGTACATTTGTATTTATTCAAAGTAGTGAAAATCTAGTAGGCCAGTTTTGTATTGATTATTCCGTTTAAATCCACCCCAAATTAAGCGGCTTCATGGCTCGACATCAAGTACTGAAAAGGACTTGGTGGGAAACCTTGGGATTTGTTGAGAAAAACATTTTTGTCATTTCTCTTCTAGGAGTTATATATGTTACTTTTGTGACTAACCTAACGCTCTACGAAGATAACATCGGTAGAAAAATTTTGCGCATCTATTTAACACCCAGGACTAATGAAAAACCGGTGTCCGGCTATTTTGGTAAAAATGCACTGACAGTAAGTGTACGATTGTCACTTTCGCTGCAGCTCGCATTGTTGATTTTGCTGTTTTAATCAAGTACATTGCCTGTCCACACAGAAGCCCGGAGTTCTGTTTAGAACATTTACGACTGAGACCGGGAAAGTCGATCCCATTCGAATCATTGTGCCACGAAAGGCCCACTATCCGAAATGAGAATGCAGTGGAGTTAAAAACTGTGTTTAGCGTGTGGAACGCATAAATGTGGGCATGGCTTTGAAGCCACGCTGTGAAAATTACAACGAAGTACCCAAGACACTCCGTCAAGGACTTAAGGCTATTTTCTTGGAATCTTTTAAGCTCCTTTTCAGTTTAAACCCATGCATTTTATTCATGGCACAAGCGGCACACAAGAACAAATGAAAATTCACATTAATTTTGAGTATTGTAGACATATTAGCAGATCCCTTGAGGGAGCAAAAAGGGGCAACTAAAGCCAACTAAATAAAGTAATAGGTGGCGCTTCAGTTATTAGTCCATCGTGAAACGACATGCCGCAAAGATTTTAAACAATCAGGATTGACAGCCAATGGTCTGTATTCGGTTAATATCATTGTGATTGTGAAAATCCAAAAAGTTTAAGCCATCTGCTAGGTAGGAGTTCAAAAAGCCTATTGATTTTTAATTCGTCTTTTTGCAGTATGGAATCATTCGGGGATTCTGGCGTGACGATTACAAAATCCTGGATCTTAAACAAAGCTGGAACACATCGGATTACGGAATTATCCTCAAATCCACCCGCAGAGTAGTTATGTACTGTGATCCCCGTGGTAGAGTGGCTTCTGCGTTACCCTCACACATAATGGCCGCCTCCCTTTTCACGGGTCTCGTGTGTCTTCATCTTTCCTACGCGATGGCCGTACTGATGCCCCGTGAGATGTGCATCTGCGTTACGATAGGCACCTACTCATTGCTCGGAGCTTTTCTGTTACGGTACTATGTGGGTCAAGCAATGCATACGTGTTTACTGGATAACTACGAAATGAGGACTCTGCCTACACACAATAACTGGACCAACTGGATTTACCTGCAGAAGGCCACCTGGGAGCTCAACTGGAGGGCAAATTTGAACCTCATCTTGTCGATTTCCATCCTCCTTCCTATTGCCTCTGCTCTTTTACTCTATCTCTGGGTCTTCGGAGGCAAAAATGCCTGAGGTAATGCCCGACACACAACTTATGCAGCTTTAGTGCCGACCACTTTGTGACAGCAACTCGATAAATCGCGAATTTTTCATAGGTTACTGTGGTTATGCAAGATATAGCACCACGACATGGTGTCCACTACTGGAACGATAAAGAATTCCCAGAGTTGCTACAAAAGTACCACGGACAGTGAAGACATGGTTTTGTTTTAACTTACATATACTGCCTAAAAACACAGGGGGCAAACCGGGACAGGCCTTGAACAGAATCAAAATGGCCTATTCAGAAGAGTGTATTACAGGATAGATTTACTCAAAGAAACTGCAAGTTAGGTGAGACAGTCGATGTGCCCAAGGAGTTGGAGATGGCGAAGGAAAGAGTAAAGGAAAACAATTGAGAAAACAGGAGGAGCGATGGTGAATTTAAATTAGACCGAAGATGAAACAGCAAGCTTCTTTAAATGGTCCATGAAGCCCTGGAGCGAAACGTCGTCTGTTAGCACAGCGAAAGACGATTCCTGAAGGAAGAAATAACAATGGTGCTAATGATGTGCCAGTTATATCCCGAAAGACTAAGTTGCAAGGATCCTTTTAGAGGGAGGTACGACCACTTTACCCCATGACTAAAAGGCACAGTAGCACAGCAAGGCGCATCAAACCTTGCCAGCAACTCATGGAATAGAGAGAACCAAACGGCGGCTTACCTGTCCATAAGCGAACATGGTATTGTGAGTCTGCGAGGGGTTGACCTTGGAGAGGAGGAAGCGCGCCTGGCTGGCGCCGTGCTCAGTGTCGATGTAGCGAGGTGTGGGAAAGCGGCTACGCAGCAAATCCCTTGCCTCGGCGCGGGGCTTTTCAATCACTTGCTGTAAATAGGCGTACTCCGGCATTTCCTAGATAATTGTGATTGAGACAGGTGGAGAAATTAGTGACTGAAAAGCGTTAGTTTTTTCTGCATAACACCCAAGACCATTGTGGGGTAACTAATGTGAATGAGGTACGATAAATCACCATTATTATGCCATAAAAAATGAATAGCCTGACATATTGCATGTTGCTTATGTAAACAAATCTATTGAACCAAATAAACGTGGTATATCCAGATATAATAAATAACAAATTATTGATTTCTGAAGAGTACGTGAGTAAAAAATCCAGGACATCTACACTGTTACTAAGACCCAGTGGTTTTGTCAACTTTTTGGATTATCCTAATGGCTACTCACTACAACTACTCAAGATGCTTATTTTATCCGACGGGGACTACAACACAATCCAGTCTTGAAACGGCAACAGCGTCAGAACAACTCACAAAGTAGCCCGCTTTTCGCCACTTGGCGATGTTTTCCCCCACATAAATGAGAATGTGGAAGAAGGAGTCCATTAGGAGAACGGTGTCTGGTTGGATACTTGTGGAGTCGAGTAGGACAGGCTCATCGGTGCCGTCTAGTCTGAAGGCGATCAGAGAGGGCTGGATCATAAGCAGTGAGTTGGAGCAATCTTCTGTGTTCAAGACGTGTCTACAATGGAAGGATTTCGAAAACACGTGATAGCTGCAAAAATAACCAAAAGTAGGTAGTTACAAGAACCTGCCGATACCAGACAATAAGGCGCGAGGTTAGCAAGCCTTAAAATAATATTACCCTACTGCCAACCTTAATCCTACAGCTTCTGCTCGACCTATACTGCACCACTTGGGAAATAGCGAGGTGATTAGTGACGCAGTCTTCCAAAGTAAAATTTACGGTACTCAAAACTCACCTATAGTAAGCAGTTTCATCGGGACTGTTGTTAAAAACCTGGATGAAGGAAGAACGCCGAAGGTGGAACATAAATTGAGGATAAAAGGAGAATTCGTCTGGCAGTCGAAAAGACGACGCATCGTCCTTGTGGTACTCGCCGAATTTCCGACACAGCTTAATTAATTGACGATCAAGCCATCTAGAACAGAGAGGAATGTAAAATGGGAAGACAAACAGTTAAGAGAAACTTCGGGATTCAAACCCACGAGCTGAAGTGCAGAGTAAACTGACCTAACGACTTCGATGCATGGGCCCAATTCATAGCGTCACGGCGGCTACAACACGTTTGCTTGAAACCAACAACACACGAATTTGAGTCTCTTTATGTCATTCCACTTTACCATCACTAATGGACTGGATCCAGTCATTGACAGACACCGTCACCACGATTGTTTTTTTTTATTATAAACATTTTAGAGATTGCACTCAAGTTTGATCTCTTATCATACTTTTGGATGCATTCCAACGGAAGCTACAATCTTTATTTAAAAAAAGAAACTTGTGGGCGGACACGACCACCATATGTGGTCTAAAATCGTTCGTTCAACAAAAAACTTCCACAAGGCAAACGATGTTGATGCATTTAACCCAAAGACAAGAGACAGGTGGAATGAGGCTGACTGCAACCAACGTGAGGAGACGCCTGGGTGAACTCAAACGCAGTCGCTGAAACATTAAAAGCAGTCTAATCACAAAAGTGACTAGTATAACCCATGGAAAAATAAGCGGCAGAAAATCCATCACAATAGCAGAAACAGCCAACGCAACACGAAGCGATTAAATTTTCACATAAATATTGGAAGACGTTTTAGAAAACCTAAATGATAAGACGCCTTGGGCTATTTGTCCACCGAGCTGAGGTAGCGAAAAGGAAAAGAAAGTATTTCTTTGAATACTGACGACAATTATATACTGACAGGTCAGTACACAAAATCTCACCTCAGTGCATCGCGCCCATCGGCAGTTTCCGCCTTGAACATGGCTATGCGGGAGATGAGGACCGCAGCAGCTTCTTGGTCGAAGCCTGCCACCAGATAGGGATGCTGACTAGTCGCATCAATCCACTGGCGACACGCAGTGGTAACCCTAATCTTGCGCTGTCCCGACGCGTGCTGGTACTGGGTGACCAACTGGACGTAGCCCCTGCCCCCTGGAGGTATAGGGGCCTGGTGTTGATTAGTTACCTCGAAGAAAATGCCCAGAGTGGAGGAGGGAGAAAGGGCGTTGAGACGCCAGACCGAAGTGTGCCCAATTCCGACCTCATTATCACCTGTGCTTGGAGTTTTCACGTTAGCTGAGAAGCAACAGCCAATGCATCCAGACACCTTGAGATCACGGGAAGTCTAAGACGCGTAGACAAAAGGAATTCATTTACATGGTTGCTGCAATGAGTTAATCAACCAGGCAGGAAGACCCAGATCCCCATTTAATATATCAATGCAGAAGTTTACATCTTTTATATATTAATTTAAAGTGGTAAAGCGAGACCAGCATAATCCATATTAAGTTCATACAACTCCACTAATCACAGATGTGTTAAGCCAGGCATCGGTGATTCGGTTAGAAAAATTCGCTGACAAGGAAGGTATATACCCTAACACATTGGGACACATAAAAGCGTAAGTTCAACGAGTACTTTGCCTTGTGGAGATTTCACATTGAGTCGCCTGAGAACTCGCATATCCAGATTTAGACAAGTGTGGGGAATGATAACAATCACAGAACGCTGGCATTGTCAACGGAATAGCTTGAAATACAATGGGTTATCGAAAAATGAAGACACGACTAAACTTTGCATGAGAAACCGTTAAATTAGTTTTGCAGGGATTCAAAACAAGAAGACGACTTTAGTACTTTTGAGGTAGGTATTTCATTGTTGGATGACACGCTGCCAAAGTGTGCTAACATGAATAGAGGACGTGTGCGCGTGCTATGAGATAACTCAAGAACACTTTCCCATCCAGGCATGCTAAGAAATCAATGAGTTCTTGGTATGTCCGGGTTTTCATTAAGAATTTATTCATTTCAAACAAGTCGGCCAGCATACGGTAGTTCACCAAAAAGCATCAAAATTTTATAAACTTTTACACAATATTTCCAGTAATATAAATTAAAGGCAGCCATGCTGTAACAAAGCAGTTCTGTCATTTGAGCTCCACGAAGGTTTGCATACAGTTATACTTGTGAGGGATATTACTAGCCCGCAAGAGCTTGTAGTGAAGTCTTCACTGGTACCCAAGAATATTAATTTATTCGTTCGTCTGAAGAGCATATAGGTGATTACTTTAACCAGAATTGGCCTTTTTTAGTAAGTTTGCTCGCCTTTGAGTTAAGCCCCGAGAGACGACTCTACTAGAATCATTCTTGCGGGCGGTAAAATAAAGGGATGCCACACTTTAATCACCACAAGTAAAGCCTTTCGCAGACAGCTAAAAAAATTACCCAGTGCATGAATTCCGGCCTGCGCCATTTTGGTAAGGGCATGTCACTCTGAATAAATTTTGTTCAACTAACATTTCCTCCTAAACTCAGTTGCTTAAATGACCGTGTGCCCAACACGCGTCCGGTGAACCACCACTGCAAACCGTTGTCTTATATGTCGTGATGCAACGGACGGTAATCAAAATACACAACTGGACTGGAATTGTTAGGCAGCCATCTACAACTCGAGATGACGAAACCAAACTAGACTACTTTTTCTTAGATGAAAAGTGATCGGGGGCACATAGCAGTTGTATGTGAAAAAATATGGGTGTTATGTAGCACTAGAGTTATTTACACGATAACGAATGCCAATGAGCTACATAAAAGACAAACATGGTGTCGCACATAACGACCAGCTGAGGTGTTCGAGGGTTGTGGCCTAGTGGTATGTGTCAACCATAACATTGGCTCGATTCAAGTGGAAAGATATTGCATTAACCAGACACACACACACATGTGCAACTGGAACGCAGAAACTATGACAGGTCAGGCATCTTTTTTAGACACTTGCTGAGCAATGATCCCAACAGGTAGTACATACGTGAAAAAATGCACGATGCACAAACAGACATAAGCAACGAATTAAAGTAAATCAAACCTTGACTTCTAATTGGCCAGCAAATCCCATTTTGAAATGGCCACGAACGTCCTTGCGCAGGAAAATTTGGAAGCTCTGGATGAAAAGATTGGAAGCGAAACTGTCGCACATGGTCATACTCCCGCCAGTATAATTCGCCAGGTAACGCATCTCGTGTAGGCCAGTCTGGTCCAAGTGACTGCTGAACAAGTCCACAACATGGCCGTTTTGGGTCGCACGATTGGCCAAACCCTCGTAATGCTGTAGGAAGGAAAAATTTAAATACCATCGGGTTGGTGAGCATGTACTGAAGCCAGGAGTATGGTGGCCATTAGTAATAAAAGGTCTTAGACGCAATTGTCTCCGTGAACAGACAAGGGGGAGGACAGGGCTCGGCCACTAAAGGAGTCAGTTTAGAGGCCTTTGGGTAATTGGTTTTTCACTAGGATAGGCAATTTAAAAACAAAAAAAATAATCAAGGAGGATTCACTAAACTAGTGTTGATGACAACTAAAAAATTATCAGCTAATTAAATAAAGTGAGCGAAGAGACCTTATCAGACGAAGAACCGGCTCGGTTTACACTATAATTTGTGCAGTTGACAGTTGAGGACAAGAAATTCCTCTCATATCTTAATTATAAAGCATTTAATTACGCTCACGTAAACTACGCAGCGAGTTGGCACGTCTCATGATACTGGAGGCACATGTAAGTGTAATTGGATTGGATGTCAAAAGGTATTGGTGACAAAAAGGAGACAAAGTCCCACCTTGATGGCCTTCCGCATGTAGGGACAATTATCTCTATCCACGTCATGATGCGAACGAATAATATTTTTGAGGTCATCATCGATAATCATCCCAGGGCCCTGAGTACCCGGCCCGCCGAGGAAGGTCAGAATACGAGCTCCTGTGTTAGGAAAAGCCGATTCCAGCAAACCGACGGCAATGGATAGAGCAGCGCCACAGGAACGCAGGGCCCTGCGACCCTGGGTAACGGGCCAGGGATCTGGAGTTAATTCAGCCAGAAGAGAATTCAGAGAAGCCGAACAGGATTCAACAGGCTGTAGAAATCTAAAAAATAAGCACTTTCGATGTATCAGGGGGGGGGAATATAGGAGCATTGCTAAATACATTTGCATAAAGCAATCAAATAATAAGGACATTATCCATGCTGCAGACACTTAATGATAGAAAAGGTCATTAAATTTCCGTCATAAGGAAGTATGTACCTGTTTTGAGGAAGGCTTCCAGGAACTGATTGTGCAGGAGGACCAGAAGTTCGACCTGGCGTCCCGCTCCTGCCCAAACCAAGCATGGCCTAATTAAGCAAAAATATACGTAAATAAGTCGCATTTATAGCGCAGGAGGCAAATTAGTTATCATAATTAAACTAAAAATCCGTGTACCACAAGTGCACTTGCAAATATGAGGGTGTTAGAAAGTTAACTACAATCCGAACTCGCGCCTTTGAGAGGTAAGAGAAAATGCAAATAGGATCAGAAAGCTACAAATGATTTATTGACTTACGCAAACGTTCTACAAGTAGTTAGGAAAAGATACGTTGAAAGGAAGTAAAAAAACGTGACACAGCGGGCGTGGAGAACTTGCCTGTATTTGGTCACCAGTGTAGTCTTTGGTACCTTTGAAAACCCATGACTTGGCTATTGAACCACTATTCAGTTCATGTATGTGCACCATGCGACCGAAAGTAATAAGTCCAATCATACAGTTCGGTGGTAGTATGGAAACTAGTTGTAGGATTGCATTCTAAATCAGATAAAAAATGAGCTTATTATGAGAAATACTTTAACAGAAGAAAGTTGATTATGACAAACCTTTAATGCAACAAACTCGGCTTCCTCAAGACAGGTATCCATGACGACCAGAAACACTGGAGGAGGAGCGGGTGCCTTCTTCAAATAAAAAAGAAGAATGAGATATAAGAACCAAGTTAAAAAAAAACCACTTACCGTAATGGTGTATTCAAGGGTGGTGAACTGAGGCATAAGCTCGGCGGGAAGATTTTGTTCACTCATGCCAGCGTATTGAGGAGGGAAAGTGTTTCGTGATGAACACATGCAGCAGTTCCACGACTTAGAGCGTATGTCGATCTGTAAAATGTGCAAGTAACACATAAGCCAACAAGATAGCCACGTGTAGCAGAAAGGATACAGACAGATAAAAATTGCCCTTAGCGTTAAACTAGGCATTTAAAATCCTGATGGAAAAAAGTCCGGGATAAATATATTGTAAGCTAGGATTAGAGCGAAACATAAAAGCTCACTAACCTGACAAAATGGGTTGAGAATAGCTCGACATCGGGTACAGACAACAGGATCGTACGTAATTTGAGGGAGATCTTCGCGTTCTTTCATGGGAGTGTAGAGACAAGAAATGGGGACCACGAGTTGGGCAGCATCAAGGCGAGACGCAGGCCATGTGTTCCACGCGAAGCGAATGCCATCATTAGCTTCGGTTTGCTGGATGTACTCACTCATTGACGCCATGGCAAACTAAATTGCAAAAAAAAACAAAAATTGAAAGGAATAAACGATGGTTACATAAACGCTTCAAAATAGGAAATAATATGTCGTAAACAGCCAAAATAGCAAAATGAAAAGGTAAAAGTTAATCACGAGAACATTGTGCGGAAACACTGAATAAAAAACCTGTCGAGATAAATTACCGACGTGTGCCAACTCAAACGATTTGTATTGCGTGCTTAATAAATTGAACATTACAACAAGTCGATATTAAATTTTTCCAGTTAAAATTTTAAGGGGTTGCATACTTTCAAAACTTTAAGATAGTGAGTTTCTTATTGCATGTCTATTGTAACCATTTGATGGCTAAATGTCTCCATGTGGCATTACATCAAGCTAAAGATATAAAAACTAGACAATTTATAAAAGCAATTATATAAAGATGCTAACCATTATTTTTCCCATTTGAATTAACATAAAGTAAAAAATATTAGTATAAATGTCAATAGCTAACGAATAGGCTCTGGAATCTCAAATAAATATGCCAGATAAACAAAAACAATGAATATTCCAAGCAGCGGTAGTTATTGGAATTATCTAAAGTGGCATATGGTTTTATGCACAACGTATGTTTCTACATCATGCAGGTCAAGAAATTTTTCGTAATGTTGTTAATACAAATGTTCTTTCCAAAATTGGACTAAGCACGTCTGCCACAGGCTTCAAATCCGTGTATCGGACGGAACGTTGAAATGCTAAAAAAACTTATCAACACAATTAGTGTTGTTATAAATTTATCTGACCACTGAATTGTATATAATGCATTCAGTTAATGGAATGATATGCAATTTTCCATGCAAAAAGGAAGTTGCGTTTTCAATTATGGTTACCTTTCTTATATTTATTATTTCGGTTTTAGATATTATGACTGCTTCCTATAGAATTGTCTCTTTTATTAGACGTTTAATTTAACGCTCTTCCCTAATTAAATGTCAGAATTACTTTAAAAAATGCCAGGGGAAATCAAATTTATTCAGTAATTAGTAAACGACATTCGAGAATAAAGGATTGATCTATGCATTTGGGGGTTAAGTGCCGCTTTCCTTTATCCATCTTTATACATGAAGGATATTAATCAGACGTTCACTCCAATATAGTGAATCTATTTAACCTAAATTAGGTTCCAATTTGCTAGGATTGTTTTACTTTAATTTTGAATATTAATCTGCTGTTGCTATGCTCGTAGAGTCGTGCTATGGAAGCATTAGTCTATTTGAGAGTTAGATTAGAAGTAGACTCATTGTATTTTATTCGGCATCATTTTCTGCATCTTCTCCAACGCTTATTGTTGCGAAATTTATTGTGTTTTTTATCTCAGACCCGATATGGCAGGCCTATTAAAAGTATTTTTAGAGCATCAACAAAGCAATTTTATATTTGTAATTCAAGTCGCAGGTTATTTAAACATTATAAAGATTGAGATTCTACAGAGCTGTTGGCAGAACCAAATATGTCTCGATCTTACATGTAGGTTATAGGATTGCTGGCTGATAAAATTCGGTGAAACCTTTTTCGGAATCAATGATATTACAGTAGACAGAATCTAGGTGCAAAACTAGGACAAATTCAATTTTAATTAACTATCTTAGGTGCCATGCATATTGTGCACTTGGCACTGTGGAAAAAGGTATTTTTTTAAACTAGTGACCTTTTGTGATTTGCGGTTAAACTTACAATGATACACTCCATTCTCAATTTATTCGCAAATATTTAGAACTCACAACTAGTGATTTGCAATTGGTAATATTGTGCTTTTAACCTTCCTTTTTCATGATTTGTGTGCTTTGGTTTATAAATACTTTTAGATTAAATTGACTTTCAATGTTATATAACGCCGAAAAAACTGTTGTTTAAGTTAGTGGCATCTTCACGAACTGTTCCAATTTTTACCCATAGTTGGTTGGTTGCCTTTTCCAGATCGTTTGCTACTTCGGGTCGTTCCGTTGCAAGCTTTTCTATTTGCCTTATCGTCACACATATTTGAGTTGTAATGCTTCAAGGGATTTCAAGATGTGCTGCACTCGCGTCAAGGGTTTTTATCGTAGGTCGTAAACTGAAAAATAACATGTTTAGGCCCAGCCAAAACGTTTTCTACGAATTCACGAACACTCTGCAATGGGTCTTCTGGAAAAAGCTCAAATTGCAGTACCGACTTATCGTATTGCAACGAACTTGAACGAAGTTTCACGAGCAGCCGATGAAATTGGTAAATAATTTTGTGATGCACAAAATTTTGTTCTACCTCACAAATGTTCAATGTTTCGTTTTGCTTTCTGTTCTGTATAGCTGCATTATCTAGTAGTTCAGATCTTGTCGTGAAGGCACAGGTTCTGGCTGGCGGCCGTGGTAAAGGCGTCTGGGACAGTGGTCTGAAGGGTGGCGTGAAAATTACGTACAGGTGAATAAACTATTTGCAATGTACTTATAACTAATTATAATTAATTATTATATGACAGTATCGGTTACCTTCCTCATAGTTAATTATTAATGGTTTATTACTACAGCAAGGATGAGGCTCTGGACGTTGCCAAACGAATGCTTGGCCACCGCATTTACACCAAGCAGACGGGAGAAGCCGGTCAAGTCTGTTCTGCTGTGAACATTGTGGAACGCAAATATCTCCACCGGGAATTCTACTTTGCCATTGCTCTTGACCGCGTGACCGCTGGTCCCATGATCATTGCCAGCTCCCAGGGTGGCGTCAATATCGAGCAGGTTGCTGCGGAAACACCCGATGCCATTATCAAGGTAAGACCTTCGAATAAATTTTATATTGATTTTAAGCTAATCAAGTATTTGTGTTCTGATGAGCCATTAGGTCATTTTAGGCAAATGCATTTGTTCATATCTTGTAGATTGCTACAGGGGAATGCTGCTAATCGTTCGATACGACTTTTTATTCTATGCCTTCCATGTTTTTTTAAGTTTTCCCAGCTAACCACCCATTTTTAATTTATAATGCTAATGTAATTTTGCAATTACCTTTTCTGTGGTCTTGGCTTATTATTCATAGTCGTGACATATCTTCACAAATAGATGTTAATCATCGTGACAAGTAACAGTCGTTACTTTATTAAAGGAGTATTTGTTGATAGTGAAAGGGGGCGAAGATGGTTCTCTGGGTTGTAAGTTGGGTGGTCAATAACATTAGAATAGATGGCGCCCATGTGTGATTGCTTCTCCTCTTTACATTTTCAGTTTACACGAATCCAAAATGTTGAAATTCTCAAAAAAAAGTTATTAATTTTTTTAAAGGAAACTGCATAAGTGTACTGGCATTTAAAAGTAAGCTGTAGATATTTTTTACCACCAAGGACTGTTCATCTTTTAAGTTTTCAATCTCCTCAAAACGAATATTTTAACTGCTACTGAATCCCTATAAAGGATTGTTGAGTATTTTAAGTCATAGCTGCATCTGACGTAGCATTCCAATGACTGCCTAAAGGTTATTTTGTTTACTTTTTTTTGAACAGATACCTATTGACATTGAAGAGGGGCTGTCTTTGGATAAAGCCCTTAAACTTGCTGCAGATATGGGTTTCACTTCCGAAAAAAACCAACGAGAAGCTGCAGATATATTTCTCAAGTTGTACAAGGTCTTCACTAGTACTGATGCGACGCTAGTGGAGATTAATCCCCTTGCTGAGGACAATGTTGGAAAAGGTAAGTCAGGGTATAATGAAGTGCTGCCCTCTAAATCAATAATTGTAGCACTTCTTATATGTGGAGTGCACATCCCTATGATATACAACAGGACAAATTCGATTCATTTTTGAACCTTCTTAGCATTGTAATAATTGAATGCTTTAATTATAATTCGCTTGTGTGTTGCATCGTTTTTTATCAAAAATTAATTTCTCGTGATGCCATGTTTGGTAATAAAATTATTCCGCCCTGCTCATTCATTCATGTGTTTTATAAGGAATATCTCAGTGAACTCAGCGTCAAATTATGGTTTTCCTCAACTCAAAAACTGTCAAAGCATGGTTTGCCCGCCCAAGGTCACCTTCGACATCAGTTGATCTGGAATCTCGGAAACAAACGACGCTGTTATTCATAGTCCTTAAAAAACCATAGTTTGAGGCTAGCATCCTCTAGATTTCCGAATAAGCAAGTAAATCTATTGCGTTTTATCGCCTATAGTTCTGTGCATGGATTGCAAGATGACCTTTGATGACAACGCTGAGAAGAAGCAACCTGAGATCTTTGCTCTCCGCGACTGGTCTCAAATGGATGAACGTGACGTACGTGCGGCTAATGCCGATCTCAACTACATTGGCCTCGATGGAAGCATTGGTTGTCTTGGTGAGCCATTGGCTTACTTTTTATTTAACATGCTCTCCCTTTCACTATGTGAAGTATTATCACTATTGTATGGGCTCTTTTTCAACTAATATGATCAATTGTGTACAGTCCCTAACATTCGAAGTTGGTGATAAATTGGTAATTCCGTCTCCGATGTATTTAATACATTATTACGGCTTAGTTCTCTTCACCTCGTTGTCGGTTTTCGTGATTTGAAAGGGCTTTAATAATGAGCCTGTTTCTCCATTTATTATACAATTTCTTTACAAAGTGGCCACAACATGCATGTGCTAAAGGCTAGGAACCAGTGCTTATTTCCTACCATTCGTTCGCTTAATAGTTGTTATGGAAAATGGTATCTTATGCTCTATCAATAAACGGAAGTTCGTTTTCATTCAATCATGCAGTGACCCGAATTTCCGGTGTACATTTATCACGAGCTGTAGCGAAGGTTGACTAGAATGCATTAGGTAGCTACTTGTTTGTAGGTCTTATAATCTAGTTGAACCAATTATAACTCCCGTTAGTGAACGGCGCCGGCCTCGCCATGGCGACCATGGACATCATCAAACTCCACGGCGGTTCCCCAGCCAACTTCCTCGACGTAGGTGGTGCTGCTACGGCGTCCCAGGTCAATGAAGCTTTTCGGCTCATTACCTCGGATCCCAAAGTGAACGCTATCCTCGTAAACATTTTTGGCGGGATTATGCGGTGTGATGTTATCGCCCAAGGCATTGTTGCCGCCGCCTCGGAGCTTAACATCAAGGTCCCAATCGTCGTACGTCTACAAGGTAAGTGAAGCCAAGCCTTCGTTGACGTTTTGCAGCTTTTTGACCCACGTGAAGGCGAATAAAATTATCCCTTTTTCGGTTTTCATGTAACGGGCAAGCATGTCTCTTCTTCACAGACCGACAACTTTGTAAACGCTAACCAAAAACTAAGGTCGTCTGTTAGATGATTGCTTTCTATCTATTCCCCCTTGTAGCTGTTAACTCGTACTGTTTACATCGAATTTGAAAATCCTTATAACGTCTAGATGTGCGAAACTGTCGGGTTGGTGGTTGCACGTCATACTGCATAATTTGAAGTGTTTCTATCTAAAAGCAGACTCTTAATGATTATTTTACCGTCCTTACTCATGAACCTCTCGTCCAAGTGCCCAGGATATTAATCTGAGTCAAATTTCCCTTTTGAATTGGGTGAACTCGAGGCAACTCGAACTATGCCAAAACCTGATATTTGCTGATTTTGTTTACTCTACATTCTAGTTATCCACCTTTAATTATAATTAATTGGGAATAGTCTATGCAAAATGACAATAAATTTATGTGGCTCTCTCGCACACGTTTTCCCGTCTTGGCTGTTGGTATTCGTACGTTCTAGTTACTCATCGCATCCATTTTTTCACACTTTTCATATTGCTTCTATTTCGGCTTGTACTCTGTCATTTGAGCCAAATCATTTGTTTTCCCTTACTATTGTTTTAAGATTTCTAAATCCTTCTGTGTAATTTTCTAGGCACTCGTGTTGACGACGCAAAGGCAATCATCGAGAGCAGCAATTTGAAGATTCTTTCTTGTGACAACCTTGACGAGGCAGCTCACATGGTGAGTGACCTTTGGTTAAATTTGATTTCAACTGAATCTCGATATTTTTTGTCAGTCGCGAAGTGTTAGAGCCTCGTGGCAAAGTGCAGTGTGGCACGTTGGTGTAGGTGGCTTGGTTTGCGCTTTATCACATAAATAACCCGACTTGTTGATAGTTCAAGTTACACGTCGAAGTGGCGCTTGTGAAATCAACTGGAAATTTCGAGGCACCACAAGGAGCAGATTTTCGTCGCTGCTTGTAACACATCACTTTATGCGACTTTCTCACCAAAGTGTCCGTTCCTTCGGAGTGCCCACATTCCTATTAGCTAGAAGCGATTTTAATTCGACATGTGTGCACCCAAAAATGCTGGTGCTGCTCAAAGTAGAGTAAAAAATCTGTTGTGAATAACATGGCAAAGCTGCTTTGACGTCGTTCATTACTTTTAACGGCGCGGTCGTCGTCTTATTCTCGCACACCTGACTTTGGTGTTTGTGCAGATCTAGCGCTTTCTCGTGAACGTGTTTGTGTGAAACCCTCCTCTGGTAGTCGATATGTGTATGCGCATTCGAGTGATGTCTCGCATTTCGACGCTTCAAAACCAACACGAAGCTGTGGTGGCTTGAAATGGACGCACAAAGCCGCCTTGAGCCCATTGGTTTACGCTTAACGAGGCTTGCCTAACGGCGGACAATTCGTTTTTTTTATAGATACACAGCATCCCTATATGACCAAGCCATTCCTGTTTTTAGGTTGTGAAGCTGGCCGACATTGTCTCATTGGCACGCCAAGCTGCCGTGGACGTCAAATTCGAATTGCCTGCGTGAGCAACCACCACCCTATCCTCTCTGTTTACATCTAACCTACTTTTAGCCTATCCTCAACAGCCCATGTTGTAAGGGCTGCTTCAGCTGCTCCCTACAATTTGCTGTAGGGAAACCAAAGTTAACAATGGTAGAATCAATCTAACTTCACTTGTCTGTTTGCTTCAAAAAGTTAAAAAAAAACCAATATAGACATTGTAGAATGTGTCTCTTGCTCCGTTTATCACTGTTTCTTTGTTGAGATCTTAAGTGTAGGAACAGCGACTCACAAATATTGTACTTTTGTTGCTCAATAAATTGGAGGCTGTTTCTACATGCATAACAATCGTTTCTTCACCAGTTTGCTTCAACACGTTGCTGTTTCGAGCATTGAAGAGTGCGGCTTTGTTCCCTAAACTGTGCATGTCTTTTGACCCAAGTGCCATTTGGGGTGAGAACGCGGTTCTGTTGACCACGTTGACTCAACGCAGCAAATTTCCTAAGGCGTAGCTATTAAACTTAATGAGCTTTACGGCTACTCAAGCCTACTTTTTAAGTCAAAATTAGAAATCTCACTTGTTTTGCTAATGATTCCGGGCTTACTCTCACCATCCTTGGTTATGCTCATAACCCAACTATTTGTGTTAGAACGCAATTCCTCGTAAAATCCGATTAAAGTGGGCATTTGGACTCATCGACTAGAGCTTGAGTAACGAGTTTCCGTCAATGAACACCATGTTAAATGGCTACCTTTGAAAAATTATCCGCTGCGTTTTAGCTTCACTGCGCTGCCTGGTTACACGTAATCTAAAATGGCCGGTCAGACCTAGAAATTACATGCGGGAGTTACATTAGTAGCTGGTATTCACGAATAGTGCGATTCTCACAGCGTAGCCTTATGTTAACAAATCAGCGCCACAGTCCTTTAAATAATCAGAAAGGTTTATTTGCCTACATGATTGTTGTGTTCACGTTGCTCTCATGCCCCTCTGTTATTGCGGCGCAGTCAAGTGCATGTGTGTCGTCTTTGCGCGTGCAGTCATCGATTTGCGCAATGCACACTGGGTAACTACACGCTTACACTCTGTGGTAAAGTTGCTTCTCAGCATTTCGTACAATTTCTACTTAGCGTCTCCGAGTCGCGCTGTTTTGAGTGTCGGATAATTTATCGAAGGCCATTGATCCAGAAATTGCAAGAGCGAAGAATGGTCATCGCCCATTGTCCAAGTAACCGAGTGGTATGCTTCTTAATAGAAATGCGGGTGAAAACTGTTTGGACTAACTCATAAGGGCTACCAAATTGTCTGCCATGGTTTTAGGTGCTGTCACCTGAAGTCAAGCCGATTTTACTATGCTGTAATACAGGATAATTGAAAGTTGTAAATTCTGAAAATCGCCCCGATATTGTGCTGAGGAGCTAGTTGAATATCATCATTATTGGTCTTCTAATTACACTTAATAGAAATCACACATTGTAAATGCCGTGACCAATGTTATAGGGGCACATCACGGTCCGGGTCACATTCTTGCAGCTTCGCGTCTCCGTTGTGCTTGCGCAACGCAAATATTGAGATCGTTAAGCTATGAAAAATCCCCTAGCCACAATCTTTTTGGATCCAGTTCTAAAACGAGTCTTTGGCTGAGTACTGAACCTATACCGATGTTCTGGCGACTAATTCGGTGGTAATCTGATTTTACCTAGTACCTTTTCCTCAAAATGGGGTAGTCCGTCAACAAGACTATGAATTATCACCTGGTTCCCAGATAGTTCCCAAGACTACTGTGTTTGAGTGACACAAGCTTAGTTACTATTGGGCTTGATTGTAACTCATGCGCAGTCGATATTCTATGCCAAACCTACAAGATTCCTCTAACACACAGTAAGGTGATGTTCTTCAAGTCACCTTTGCTTCGAGTTTATTCAGATTTCCGTTGAACCATCAAATGTACTTTAGATGGTTTTAGTACTACCCTTCGGTTCCCTCGAACGCCTTTCAGTTGACGCAACGTAGCTATAATCCCTAGATAACGGATCTCTTGTGCATCCCCAGAATATGGCCCTAGTCCACAAATCTGGTGCAAATCTGCACGAGTTACTGAAAAAGAAACAGGCCTTAAAGTTAATCGACATGAAGCATCTTGCAACCGCCAGAACCGTGATCTTCGACCTTTATTTCTCGAACAATAGCCCGCACTGAATCGAGACATCCAGCCATGAACATAATTGCGTAATCCTCAACTGGCAGGCATAACAAGGCTTCCTTGTGTTGAGTATTTCACTATATATCCGGACGCTCTACTTGTGTTAGCTTGCAATGCCTTACAACACTGCCAATTAACAGACCGGACAATCCGAGAATAGGGGGAAGAAAAGCGGCAATGAACACGACCGTTTATTAGTGTCGCGCCAACAAAGCGTCTTGGCGTGCGGATGAGTGTGCGTAACAGGGAACCATTAACAGCAACCAATGAAAACGCAGGGATTAGTCATTGACACGGATGGGCCATCAAACAAGCTTTTCTCACGCGCGGTCGCTGAGGGTAAAGTACGTAGACACCCAAAACTTCATCGCCGGAGCAGTGGCAAAGCGTTCATCAATTGAAGTGCTATCCAATTTCGGGGACGAGTCGAACTCTGACGGCAGCCTATCAGCTATTTCAGCGTCAGCAGTTTGATGCTTTAAAACTCCTCTGATCGCACTCGGAATTAATTTGGCCGATGAAGAAGATCTTTATTGTTTTGTGTTAAAATTGCTTCTTCAACAATGCAAACTTAAAAGTGAAGCTCTACATTACTCTATCCTGAGCATCATGACCTGGTCAAAGTAACAACCTTAATCGCTTACGTGAGACAATTAGTAAGCTTAAATCCGCTTAACCTCGATTGCCGACGATGAAATCTCACATTCCACAGATTTTATCTTCCTGTACACGTGTTTCTTAATAGGATAGTCTTTGCAAAATATTTACTGGGAAGTGTTTGCACCTAAGTTTGATATCCAGCAACTGGTCTTTGTGTCCACCGCTAGGATCACATTGAAGAAGGGTATCCCTTAAGCCTTTGAAACGCCGATGTGTCGAATGGTCGCCTCGTCAAGAACAATTAAAAACCAATGTGCAAGCAACTACAAACCCAGCCATGCGAAATCAGCTCACTATGGGATTTGGGACATAACCAGGACATGTTCAGAAAAACCTTTAAAGTAAAAACCATGGAAAGTCATTTTTAGTTTCATATGTAAGGTTACCTGCTTCAATTACCATGTTGGTTCGATGCTGACTTACTGCCTTAATTGTGCTATTATTCGACTGACATCAAAGAACGGCCTGTTCAAAAGCCACACACAGTTACTTTTCGAATTTACCCCCACCCAGGGTCATCGTCTTCTCAACCAAACGGATGTGCTTTTATTTGCGGCACTCTTCAAGAAGATGTTCTATTCCTTAGTTCAAGTTATGTGCCCTTTTTCTATTTCTTTTGCTAGTCTATATTAAGTGCCCCTCCTTACCTTTCTCAGTTATGGATCTGAGTAGGTACACTGTGCAAATCAGAAGTAACACTTTTCGAATTTTGGTGAAAATTTATTTGTGACTGTTATTCCTTTCGACGCGAATTTAAAATCGTTTGTTTCCATGATAAAATTGTATTCACGCATCATTGCGCCATAGTAGGAGGGTGCTTACCATTTTTCTAACGAAACGTCGTGACAACGCTGTTGCAGCGCTCGCTGCTTCATGCCCTGAGACCGCCAATGTAGACTTCAAGATAGTGCGTGAGAGTGGGGACGACGGGAACGCACGTATCGAGTAAGAGTACGATAATCGAACCTGAAACTAATTAATTCTGTGTACTAATTGGTCTTTTTGAACTGTTTGAAGGCATCTCATACGACGTCATCGTTCGTCAATGAAGTCAATAAGTTGGAAAAATCGGCTTCCCAACAAAGTAATTGCATTAAGCAGAGCACAATATCGTTCATAAGATCAAAGACCAAGCAAGATATACGATGGAACCAATTTAGCAAATGCAAACACATTACCACCTATTTAAATGTAAAATGAGTACGACATTTGACATGACAAGGTAGAAACATCGTAGTCAGGTTGATTTCGAGAGTTCATTGATGCATTCTACACCGAAATACACGTCGAGCAAATGCACGTGTAATGTCACCTGATGTTTCGAGCTTAGTGTATGGCCAACGCGATGTATAGGTCCACTTATGTGTTACGGATTCACGTACGGAATACTTAAGGAAATGGCTGAGACTTGAGATCAAAAATGCTTCAAATGTTTACTGCATGAGCCAGCAATTGTAAGTGCATTGATTCTGCAATTTTGATTTATGTGTACGTGCGTTGAAAAAGCGGCGACAGTAACACAAAAACACACCTAGAATACATCCAGATGGTTAAATGAATCCAATTTTCGAAAATTCAAATGCATCATAAAAATCCTGGATTTCTCCTATAAGTTCCAATGAAAAGTTTTACCATATTTCTGGTTACAAAATCCAATGAATTGACTAAGCGTGGATCTCTTTGCCATGACTGAATACACGTTGCTTTGTTCAATCGGAAATCTCAGAACTTCAATTAGGTTGGCACTTAATGCAGTTCCACTTGGTTCTCATTTCGCGACCGGCATAAAAGGAACCCTTCGTGCCATGTTGTCGTTCTCTCGTTTAAATTCTTTCTTAACGTAGCATGTTGTTATATTCTTTGCGTGCTACTGTGTCATACTAATAAATTGGTTGCAAACTAAAACGTAAAATTCTTTTGCAGCAGTCTATTTCTATTCGCAAATTACTGCCCCTATGTCAAAATATCGTGGTAACATTGCAGTGGTCCCTGCATTTGCGCCACGTGGCATCCGCGCCATGCAATACCGCCTTTATCTCTGCTGCCGTCTCGTCACAGTTCACATATTCAATTATTACCTGGTCAATATGATGGCGGCTGATGAAGCCTTTTGCTGGGTCCCAACGCAGTCTACTTTCAACATCCAATCTGGATGAAACCGTAAACCAAGGCCACAATGGCTCCGATACAACCCAAGACCTTAAATAATTTTGAGATTTGTTCTTTGGAAGTAAGCTAATCACTCCTGGGCAGATACGGCGAATTATGGGAAGCCCATTATAGATCCACAATTACTGTGACTGGTCGAAACCATTTAGTATTTTCGCAAAATCACTGATGTCCGGTTTTCTAATTTAGAGCCCTCAAGATAAGTTCACAAACAACTCCCAGACGGCGCTAAATCCTCAAAGTTCTTAGTCGGCATTTGCCTTACGTCTATCGTCACCACTGAAACTTGTTTCCTCGGAAGTATTGACGGAGACAATGTGGACCACACACCACTCGAACAAGCAATGACTAGACGACACTCCAACGTATGTCATGATTGAAGACTACTTGACTCATTTCTTATTCGCAATTACCACACATCGTACATCTAATAGGAGTTTGAGTTAGAAAGTTACCTACCTCTTGCTACTGAGCTAATTCAACTTCAATCAGCGTTAAGAAAACTAGCTTACCCAACCGAAAAGGAAAAACAACACAGGATACTGCACTTGAATTTATTACTCAGAACATTGGTGTCATAACTTAAGTCTAGGATTACCAAAAAAACTGAACATAACTATGAATCCCAAAAGCAAATTTTGGTCATCAGAATCCCACAATACCCCATCACACACTAGAGAATCACCTGTTCTAAACCTACCACACCGTTCATACTTCGTCCTGGCAACAGGTGGAGCCGAAAACCACCATCTGGTAAATGAAAAAATTCGTCAAGTGTTATACTGTTTAATGTAGTAAAAACATCAGAAAATGGGTTAAACATACGTTGTGTGTGAGGAAACGCAGGACGGCGAATCCCAGAATGTCCACACGAAGAGAAAGGGGGGGAATGTATGTACAGGGAGAGATGGTGGAAACTTACAAATCGAGTACTGCTCAGATGTTATTGCGTATGTTCTCAAACTTACGTGTCTGAGTGGCCAAAAAGACCTTAGCTTACCAACTTACAATGCGATGGTTTAACATCACAAACGGAGATGCCAAAACAGTGACATTCGGCATCACGAAATGGGAAATAAAGAAGCTGCTCCATAGTTTGAGACAGTAACACATATCCCCCATTGCTGGTACCCATCAAGTTGCACATAAAAAGTAAATCTAAAGTGGGGAATAAAATATCTAGAGGAGGCCAGCCAGTACCGGATCGTCAAGTGTATTATAAGGAATCTCATTATCGAATGGTAAAGGTGATTCAGCCGACGGACAAGGAGATAAATTAGGGAGGGTGGTAGGTGCGCATGAATCGAGAGTAGATTCAAGTTGAAATGAAGATCGCGTCTGCAATGTTTGTTCAAGTTCGGAATACCTAAGAACAATATTAGCTACAAAAAAGCACCAAAACCTTTTGATTACAAGGTTGAGCTCTTTTTGGGACTTTTCATACATGTCCTTATATCGAAGGTAAGCATTCTTAAACAATTCTAATTGCAATTTTAGGTCCTCCAATTCTTTCTTTTTATTCGCTCTGTACTGTCTAGCAGTCAAAGCAGCAATAGTGTGCTTTGTTCTGACGTTTAAAGAAGATGTGCTCAACCTAGGGAGGTGAAAACATTAAAAAAACATACTTTTCCATAGGAGGCGACATGACAAGACTATAAGTGGCGCTTAAATAATCGGCTGCTCTCAACACTACTAGAGTAAAATTGAAACGTGAAATTTCTAAGGCATTTTTTTGAATTAAGAAGATTATTTTTAATTAAACTGTCTGAATTTAACTATTAGTTGTATTAGGGCATGGATGATCATTAATTAACTACCCAATTTAAGATATTTATAATTCAGCTTGTCAATATCGCCTCGATAAATTTGCAAGATATTCCACAATTTTAATGCTATACAAACATTTTAACGTTGCCAATGTGCCGCTTTAATGCTAAAACTGTGTTGCGTTAAATCAAAATCCTATTGTTTATTTACTCAAACAGAGACCGCAAGTGCAATATAAGGTAAGAATATTGACATGACAGTAACTGTGCCCTGTAGGAACTAAACGAGAATTAAAAAGTTTAATTCAGCGTTAGAAATACCTGTAAATTTGCAGTAAACCATTTCTAAAAAGCTTCTGATAATGAGCATCGGATGATGATTATATAAATTTATGCTCAGCTGATTCTAATTCAATCCTCTACGTACTGCGATATTTGTTGCTGAAATTTTGAGAAAGTGCTCACCCTTTTCTGAATTCAATAAATCCACTTAAATTTACCTTAATTTGCAAAATAAATTTATCACTCATTGGTTTCCAAACAACTCGTTACATGTTGTCTGACGGCTGATAAATCTAAAATCAATTTGAAACTTTTACGTATAAAAGCGCTTTTGCTTGAACAGAAGTCCATCAGGAATAAACCGAGAATCTTCTAATAAATAGTGTGCTTAATTTTTTGTATACCGAATATTAGTGGAAATATTTATTAAATACCTAACATTCACAAAATCGGTTTCCGAGTTGGAAGTCAGCTATGAAAACATTTAATAGCGCATTTGCCATTAGCCACTTTCCAACCTTACTGGATATGGCGTCCTACCGTGTCTAAAAAGCCAGGAGACTAAAATTGGTCCTCGCTAACTTTGGTGAAAGAGAATTACTGCTGAGCACAAGTTTTCGTCTTGACAAATACTTTTACTGCAACTGGTCATAATACAACTGAAAAAAGAAAAAGTGATGGACCAAACCATGGGGGAGTTGACTGGAGGAGTGTGGGCAAGACAGCATATTGGAAGGATTGTGTCCCATAGGTTGCGTGTCTTCTTGTCAAGACGCATCACCTGAAATATTTTGTGTAAGGTACTTGTTCTCTCAACCTGTCTGTTGTTGAATGCGTGATATGCTGCAGCATGTGTTGTTTGAACCCAGGTAAAAAATTCAATTGATTTAATTCGATTTCCTCTGCCATGAATCAAATAAGAAACCATTTGACCAAGTAAATTCACAAACGATTGCTCAACGGTTTTGAAAAATGGCAGTACATAGATGCTGAAATTTTAAATTAAATGTGTTTATTTTCTGAAAACTAAATTTTAATTGGCTGGTGGAGGTGGACTCGTGAAGTGGGAACTGCCCGAGTGGAAATTCATTTCTTGCATATTAATCGTTATTTAAACACACAGTTAACCAAATTATCGATGCAGAAATCCCTTTCTGGATGCAATTACAGGAGACATCTCCGCCAATTACTAACTCCTGGTTAAACTATCAGAGGCCCTATCGAGTAGTCCAGATTCTCAAATATAGCACCTACTTGCCTACGGTACACCTCTAACTAATCAACTTCCCATACAACAAATATAACCTTGACAACAGTCAAATTGTGCCAACGACGTATCTGAGCATGTGAAACCGGCTACCGTACCGTGTCACACAAACTAGAATCAACTACTAATGTTAACACAACGACAAATTTGCCACTTAGTAGGTAGTTCGCATGCTTTGAAAATGGCTCCCAATTCTTTTGGCTTTAATCGGTGGATCAGTTTAAACGTAAAGTGAACACTATCGATTGCCTTTGAGGGCGATTAGCTTAACACGTAGCATAAACCAACACTCTAAAAAATTTTGGTCAGTGTATGGCTTTAATACACGGAGGGGCTAGAATTTAGCGCTTGTGGGAGTAAATGAAAAAGCTACATTCCGTGAAGCAACAGAGTATGGGCAATCTAACTTTCAGCTGGGTAACAGAGTCAGCAATTTGCCTTTTGCTAACAGGCAGCTACGATTAACAGACTTAGAATTGGGGAACTAGTTGGTGGGTTTTGGGCTCACGGGATTGTTGTTGACAGAAGTCGTACACGAAGGATGTCAGAAGGCCAAATGACGATTTTGGATTGCAGAACCTGTCCAGTCAACAATTAACATGAGGTAAATAGTCGAGTGCATTTTGTTTGGTAATGTGGTCAAATTTGACAGCAAAATTTATGGCACACACGGTGGGCTCCACTCCGCAAGTGCACTAGGAATAAACCGGAACTTTGATTGGTGTAAGCGCAGTCGCAACATTCTAACCACTGTCGTTTTGAATGTCTGGTCGTAAACAATGAATTTTCAGATGCTGTTAACAGCTAATATCGCCACTGAAGCACAGCACGGAAGACTTCAGAGTACAATCAAGCGAAATAAAATCAATCAAATAATTAGATAAGTGATGATTTGGAAACCCTAGAAGTCAGAATACAAAATGACAATACGAAGACGGCAAATTTGACAAAAGGCACGTAATTTGAATCAGCGCAGCGGACAAGAAAGTACTAGCCCCAGACTTAAAAAAGCCGGATTTCTGTTAATTTAGTATCCATCTAAGTAGTCAGGTTGAATTAATGGCAGGCGTCTCAGCCGTGGCCTTGCACCCTCCATGCTGTTGCTATAGTCAAAGGAATGGTGAGTTGAAGAAGGAGATTCCTGCACAGATAGGGCCTCTCGCAACTCTGATTGAGTGCAGCCCAGGAGACGCGCTGCGGTAACGAGAGAACAGTATGCTGCTCCACGCAAAGCCCCGTGCCTCAGTAACCAATCAGTCGGCACGCCCGCTGAGGCCATGTTTTGATTGGCAACTCCAATTCGACCCAAGTAACGAGTGACCGACAGACATAGGTCAACTGAGTGAAGTCGACGCGACGATCTTGGATACCCCCCAGGCAGACATCGAAGGTAATGGGAGTAGAGGAAAAGCGGTTGACCAGCCGTAGGCAATTGCAGCCTAAAAGGTGACACAAGAGTTTTTTAAAACTAAAAAACTGTTAGCGTCCAGGAGGTTATCTAAGTAGGTGTTTTCTTGGTTACGGGTAAAAATAACAAAAACAGAGACCAAGTCAGAGGAAGCTGCCTGAAGAACCATTTCTGGAAAAACCCAGTTTCCTGGGCAGCTAATTTGAGGCATCCGAGTGGTTTGTGTAGGGCTCAAGAAGTACCGTCATGTGCATTCGGATCAGGTCAGTCTGCTAGATTGTTACATCAGGTACCAAGAGTGTTTTACAATAGAAACGTGCCCTAGTGAAGTATGAAAACAAGTGGGTAAAAATAGTGTTGCAATTATTTTGTTGAGTCCTTGATAGAGTTACCGCAGACGCACCCACGAAACAAGAGCTTGACGAGCCCATGAGGGGTAGAAAGAGGCCGTTTAAGCAAAAACTGGACCACACAGACACTGTAATTTGCACTAGTTGGCCCCGAAGTCATTGACTCTGACGCCATTCAACATAAGTAATTAACTGAAACGGAATCTAACGGTACATTTGAAAACAGTCAAATATGTAAATAACAGGAATAGCAGGTGTTTCATCATTGGCTACCACATTGGCAAACACATGGCATGAACTGACTATCAGGAAATGCGGAAAGTCCACCTTGATTCTATTGATGGTTTGTCCCACGATGTCAGCACTGCGCACAGTTGAGATGGAACGACAAGACAAGGCACGAATTCCGGATGCAGCCGGATAAGCAAGCACTTTAGTACATTATGCAAAGCTAAAGTCAAATGGCAGCCAATGAGGGGATTAGAGAGGGGCCTTCTATTCGGACCATCAAAACAGGGGACTGCATTTTAAGTGTAGCATAATAAATTTGTGTGCGTTGTATTTGCGTAAAGCATAGACGTACTTTGAGGCTTGGTGATTGACAAGCCAATTAGCCAAGTAAGACCTAATAGCCCAACCGATATGCTTCCGCTGCATATACTTGTCCTTTAGAGAAAATCGGTAGGCGAAACTACTCATTCCCACACCGGGTTGTTCCAAACACTGGAAGACGGCGGTGTCCCAAAGGAATGGAAGATGAACACCTAAAATTCATAATGCGTAGTAAACTAGGAGTTTCAGACAACATAGTTTGGTGCAGACTACTGATCATGTACTGAATAGCCCACTGATTCAGATAATCAAATAAACGCAAACCCGTAAAAGTTCCAAAATATGACGTTGAAGAAGCAAATGCTTGTTTTATGCAACAAAAAAAGAAGTATGCGGAAAATGGTTGTCGGTAAAAGCACTAGGCTGCCGCGGAGTTTTGATTTCATGTAGTAACTGTTATTTTGGTAAAGCAATATGGCAACATGAACAGCGTGGGAGCTTCACTTCAAGAAGGGCTTAAGATCTAGTAATAAAAGAAAAGTCAACTTTAGTCAGCCGAAAAGAACGACTCAACACCAAAAGGATACAGCCATTAACAACTCAAAAGTTACTAAAGGAAATGCATGTCAATTACAGAATACCTAGATTGTAAAAAGTAAACGCAAAAGACGGAGACAGGAAAGTTGCCTACCTGGTTCCATAAATAGTAGAACAGATCCTTTTGCGAAGTGTTCGACGGCATAGTGAATTAGTTCACCTCGATTCGGTGGCCGTCGCTCAAGCCCTGTACCAGAAGTAGACGACCAGACAGCGGGAGCATGGTGAAGCTCAAGTTTTACAGCCGCTTTTGAGGGATCCGTTTGATACAGCTGAGGGTTTGACATGGAAAATAGGGACGAGGGTTCATCAGTGGAGTTCTTCTTATTAACCTCGGGTCGACTTGAGATGACAATGACCTGCAGTGAGAAGTCGTTCGGATTGGCGCAGTTTTAAAGGAAGTTAAAATATTTCGGATAATAATTATGAGATGCCAAGAGTATTTCAGCAAGGATAAATTCCCGACAAGTATTTTTAAAAGACAACTGGATATTGATGAGGAGTGAAACTGAAAAGTAGCACCAGCAAGATCTACCTGAATATTACGAAGTCCGGAGGAATTTTTTTGAATTAGATCTAGTGACTCGACAAGACTTGATGCAAATGGCGCAGCATCTGCAATGATGTTGGCATCTTCAATTAAATCCAACTCATCGTCTGGATGCCCTGGGCCAATAGGAATAATTATGCTTATGGAATCGTCCACTAGTTCCCGGAGCGGAATGTTCAAAATACGCTCAAGGAAGGGAAGATCTTCAACTTGCATTATCTAAAATGCAGAAATTGAGTTTTTAACATAATTTGTGACATAACCACGTTGAAATATGACAAATGATTTCACTACTGACCTCTGGTAGCTGGTCTCTCAGAACTACAACGCTCCATTTGGGCAGAAATGTGGAGAGATTTGCCCACAGTCGACTGAAAGCAGAAGGGGTTCCCCACTCCACTCCTTCTGTCAGTTGATGGGCACTAGTAAGAAGTTTGCGACTCCGTTTCAAAGCAATAAGATAGAGGCCCCAAGTGTGCGAAGCAAATGTAGACTTGTTTTTTTCTATTACATCCCCTTCAAGGGAAGCTGTATGACACGGCACCGACTGCCCCAACACAACATCCAACTATAAAAATGTTGCCATTATATACTGCAACGAAGTTGGAATCACAAAAGACCTACTCACTTGGCCTTCCTCTAGAAGTGAAACAGCAGTCTCAATGTGATCTTTTGAGACACCGACAGCATGTGGGTTGAGGACCACAATGTAATTGCAACCGCAACATAGTGCAGCCCGGACCGAAATTTCAAAAAGGCTTACAAAACGACAGCCTTTGATGGTGACGTAATTAAAACCTTTGATCTTTCGGTCTGGGAGAAGTTTTTTTGGATCAGAAATTGTGCAATAGCGTTTAGAGAGAGTTTGCCAAGGCAAAATATCGTGGTCAAGATCCGACTTGTCCAATTTGCAATAACGATCAGGCGGCGTCCATGGGCGAGGAGTGCTTGCGTTTTCACGAAGCTTTGTCAGCAAGTTGCACCGATCATCTTCATTCTAAATTTAAAATGCAATTCACAGAGATTTATTTAAAAAGACAAAAAACGAATAATGAATGTGCGAACCATAAGAAATTCAATGGGCAGCTCCACATCGTGTCTAGGAATAAGATCAAGCCAGTCACGCAACGAACTTGCGGAAGTATAGGTCTGCTTGTAGACGAGAAAGAGGTTGCACAAATTGTTCATACAGAAAGTGCGATTGTAGCACCAATCGTAAATAGAATTAACCACACGCTCAGTCAATACCCTTTCAAGCAAGTGAAGGTTACGTAGGCCAGCCAAATAAGGCGGAGTGGGATGGTCTGTATTATCTGGACAGGACGAATCATCGGGGAGCACAAGGCGAGTTAAAACGGCGACACCAACACTGGACCTGGGAGAAAAATGCCGACCAAAGAAACCTGAGGGACTAATAAAAACGAAGAATCGGTTTAACCCTCCTTTTATACGCCCCATTAGGTCTTTCAATGAAGGAATATCAAAGAATAATATGGGATTGTCTACAAAAGCAAAGAAACACATTCAGAAGTAGTAGTTTCGGTAATACAATTCTGTGTACCACTGAAAATTATGTTACCTAGTAAGAGCGCAAAGCATCGTCGGACTAACACACGAAAAAGAGCAAAGTACAAACACAAGAGATTTAGTATATCAGGCATCACTTCGAGCATACACAGAACAGCCTTAATGAATCAAAAGTGCGCTGACATCGTAGGGGGTACACAGCAGTAATTTAAACAATATTTTTTTTAAAATTAGTAAAATTAACGCAGAGGTATTAATTTGTTTGCACATTTAATTTATGCAAATTTGAATTGCTGTTGTGTTTAGATATCAGAAACTCAAATATTAATTATACCTATTACAATGCAAGAAAATAACTAGCGAAATTTTGCTACGTAATACGTAAATTACAGTCAAATGATTAATGCGCACTGATAATAACATTTCATTACACGAAAAGCCAACACCACTTTCTGTTGTTATAGTAACGGTGTTGTCAGCGCATGTTTCGTTTTCAAGGTTGTAACAAAATGAAAACATGAATTTCCTTAAGTTTTCTTAAATTTGTCACAGTATTAAGGAGTAAAAAAAATTATTGTGGTGGTAAAATTTCAGTATTTTAGTAGCCAGCAGATAATGAACGCTGATATAAGGCGTTCCAGCTTTCTTGGTTTAAATATTTGTTACAAAATATTGTAGTTGGAAATCCATGTTACGCCCGTGCACTTACCTACTTATCAACCATTGCATGCGGTTAAATCCATAAATTTCTAAGCAGTAAATATTAAACACTTGTCCGTTTATGTTTTTGCATAACCTTAGAAATCCACATTTGAATCTTCAACTGTTTAGCTAGCTTGTTAATGTGAGCATATCTTGTGCCTCGGTTGCAAACAATTTTAATTCCCCAGGTCGTAAAATGTTTTTAACCATATTGTTTTTTTCGCTCACTGAATGTAGTGGCAATGAGGTCCTAGAGGGTGGGGACGTATGACTAATTTTGGCACATCCGGCGGTAATTTTGCAGGTTTGAAAACTGTCATCTATGTATAGTTAGATTCTGTCATTTCTGCCTTTTGAAAAAATGATAATTGTGGTCTACAGTTCTAAGCAGGTAATTTGTTGTGAAATAAACACTAATTTAGGTCTGATGCTTCAGACGCAAGTCCCTTCCATTAAGAATTCCAAGAAATCCTGTCATAACTCATTACCATGAATCCACTACTAATAAAATAAAGGTGACGTTTGATAGACATGCATTCGTCTGCATCGTAAATATTTAGTGCAAATCAACGGTTCTGGACTATTTAAAAACGTAATTTTTATTTACCACAAAATCTGAGGTCTGTTACATGTCGCATTTATTATCGTGCACAGCCGTCTATTGAGAATTCAAATCATTATTATTAAAAATACAGACATGTGCTTGAATAGCGTATTAGCATCTAAATTTAGTAAAAATCTCAATGTTATAAAATCACTTTTTTATATAAATTAAGGTTGGAAGTGGGCTTTGGTCCAGCAAAACGTTTTCGACATTGTGACGAAGAAGGTTGTCCTTGCAGATTCCAAAAAGATACATAGCTGCAAGAAGCTGGTTTGACCATCAAATATTACTTATAAACTTTTACCTTTAAGTGTTAATAGAAGTGCAGAATCTTAGAAAGCTGATTATTATTAGTGTCAATTAGAGCCTTCGTTGTCAGAATTAATTTATAAACATGATAAAATGATTTATTTTGCTACTAGTGAATCTATATCGTCTATATCCGCAGACCATTCAAATATCCTAGCATTTCAGTACCGGAAACCAACCTTTTGAAAAAAATTATAATATAAATACAATGTGGCTAGTGGCTGCAAAATATAAGGCATCAACGGAGTTGCCCAAATTCCCGCTGAGATGCTTTTTTTTTCAATTAAGCAGAAATTGAAAGGAAAATAATGTAGGCACTATGATACTGTTTATGACTCACTGACACAATCAAAAGCACTTCTAGATAGCCAAGAAGTTTACCGCACATATGAGGAATCTGTTCCTTTTTTTCCTCTGTTTTGTCTAGCATATTGTCGATCCAACATTAAAACGGTCCAAATGACTATATTTCTCTGGATTATTTAATACTGATTCCAAATAAATAGAATTTTAATTGTTTCTAATTTAGCCATAGAATGTCAGAGGAGGATTTTGAAAACGAGAACGACGTGCCGCCCCGAATTTTTATTAATAACCTTAACAACTACCTAAGCAGAAATTTGGCCGTGGTAAGTAACTGAATTGAACAGACTGTTTTACCTCTAGCACCTTGCCACCTGTAAACCTGGACAAACTGTGGATGTGGAAGATGGGTTTGAGGGAGGCGACATGGCGGGTGATAAGGGGAATCAGAATGAATCAGACTTGCCGTCGCAACAGAAACCCAGTGGATATCGCATCGTGGGCACAGTTTCTCAACCTGGCGCTGAAATTCCGAAATTCGTCGAGACAATCCTCAATGTGAGTTTCTCTCCTTTCTCATTTTCAACCTTAGCATACGTCATTCGAGCAGAATGCATAAAGGTGGTCATCAAAGTGTTATTTATTGTTTATTTGAAATATTCTCATCTAAGTCATTTTATAATATGCCACTCTCTACGATGAACGGTCAAGACAAAATCTTAATTATCGGGAATATTCGGATGCTTTTATGAATTGCATTTTGCATTTAGGAGCAGGAGTCAGGCGACTCTTAAAAGGTAGATTGATTATACAAACTGAAAAATCACTAAAGTTTTAGTTTTAATACAAAATTTCTTCTCATTCCTATACTACTGCCCTGCCGCTAAATAAGACAATTCAAACAGTTTTGGAATAATTCTACCGCTTATTCAATAATGTGTTGCAAAAAATTTACTTCATACTGATTTTCACTTTGAAATTTCGCAGTGGAATCCGCATGTTCGCTGTTTTAATCCCCTGGGTTGCACCAGGTGGCCACGTAAGGATCACACTTGTTGGGACGACCAGTGGCAACGAGGACATAGCCCTCTCTGATGTGGCTCGACTAAGTTGCATTGTTGGGTCCAAGTATACACTAAGTACTAGGGGTATGTGGCCATGGTTGCATGCTCAGGCGTGCCCGCATTAACACTGGGACGCTGAGCAGGAAGGAAGTTGGAAAGGGTGTATTACATAGGTGATGGTTGCAAATTAACAGGACTCGTTGCAGTCCTTCTCCTTAAGAAGAAGAAACCGAAAACCAATTACTTTCAATCGAGAACAGAGAGGCTGTTTTAGTGAGGAATGTGAGTTCACAATTAAAGGGAATTATCGGAATAAGAAATTCGAATTGGTATTTATAGTTCCCCCTAATGATGCGGTTCTCATATTTTCACATACCAAGTGGTTTCACCCACAGTACATCCATCCCACTCATCTTCATACCTTGTGCTCCTATAAATTCTGGTGCATGCTAGTCATTTATGGCTTTCTTCTAGCAAGCCAATAAGCCATCGAGCCTCCATCGCTTCTCGCATTATCATTCGCCCTGGGGCCTCAGTTGCGTCGGCGGCTGAATCGATGGTTTGTCGCATGTGGGCTTGAGTCCCACAAGCTTTTCACATGTGACATAAAGCAAGTGGTCGGCGCCGGGACGGGGTCATTGCCTAGAGGTAGTCGCGGCCATTTGGTGCCGTCGACAAACAACCTCCTTCTAGTGTGGTGTGTGAAAGGTTGATCACAGGTCCGCTAAAGTGAAGCGATTACTAGTCGAAAGAGGGTCGAGGGAAGAGACCCAGGTTGAGCAAGTCGGGAGCGGAGAACCAAGCCAAGTCTAATCGAATCGGGCTGAATCCAATGAGAGCGGAGCCCTTAAAATGAAAGGGGTTTACGGGAATTAATTGCTCATCAGGAAACCTTTGAGTTTCCGATGACTTGGGGTTTTGGGCATGAGGTAACCCCACTACCTATGTCTTCTCTGATTATCACCGAATACCAGCTCGTGGCAAGTCAAAAGTACCCAAGGACAGAATCACTCGTTTTTAACATTCAATTTGTTAGTTCTTGAAAGTGTTGTCTTCAAATTTGCATAAAAGTCGTTGCATAATTTTGACGTCGTGATTTCTGGTGCTGATTCTGAACAGTTTCGCGTTTCTTAAAAGAGGTCCATTAGGAGCTTTATTTTGTGCTTATCGTCAATTGTCAGGACTGAGCATAAAAATTACGATTTAGGAGCAAGAACAGAACAGGGCCTTTTAATCACTGCATGCATGTAATGAATGGTTTATTAGTTAAATCGGAGAGTAATACAGGTAGAATTTGGCTTAAGCCAACTAAAGTAACGAATAAAATCAACATTGACGCTGAATGAGATCCAACCCAGTATGCGCGTAGAGACGTGTGTCAGGTATCGAGTGATTTTTGCTTATTTGTGCTTATTGTATACTAGTACGAGGATCGACGGGATTTTTACGAACACATCTTCGAATGTGACTGCATAATCTACGACATCACCTCGGATCAAAGTCAGTTGGATGAGGCTTTGTGGGTTGCCTCATCAATAGCACAGGATTATGCACGTATTCCGACGAAAAAGGTCTTCTTGCTGATAACACACCTCCTAAGTTGGCTCGACTCGAAGACCGACAGTCAGGTACGGACTCACTTAGCCGTAACTGCCTCTCTGAGAAGAAGGAAAAGATAATGATGCCATGTAAAATGTGGGAAGTTTTCATTCTCTTTTAGGGGGATCAACATTCCTCACTCAGTGAGAGTGACCACGCAAAACGCAAACCTCACCCACATTACATTCAACACTATTCTACGGAGAAAACTATACTTAATCTCGGGAGGAAGGTAACAATCACATTCTTTATGCGTGGATTTCATTATATATATATATATATAT